TAGCATCTGCCTCGACATCTTGCAGAGCCAGTGGTCGCCCGCGCTCACGGTCTCCAAGGCGCCTCCTGCCGCCCTCGCCCTCTCCCCGCCCACGCCGCGCCCTCCGCCCCACCACTGCTTCCCCGTCCCTCCCACACACTCCCTTTTCTCCAGCCGCGGCCCCGCCTCTAACCCCCCACGACCGACGGCCTGCAGGTGCTGCTTTCGGTCTGTTCGCTGCTGACCGATCCCAACCCGGACGACCCGCTCGTGCCCGAGATTGCGCGGCTCTACAAGCAGGTCCGCCTTTCCCGCCCGAGCCACAGCCGTCACCGTCCGCGCTGCCGTCGCTTGCGCCCTCCAGCCTCCGCAGACCGCGCTGCCGCTCGCCCCGCCCCCGCACGCGCACGGCCGCGCGCCACGCCCCTGACCACCTCGCTCCCACCCCGCCGCAGGATCGGGGCAAGCACGACGAGACGGCCAAGGAGTGGACGCGAAAGTACGCCATGTAGGCCAGCTACTTCTTGGATGCGTTGTCTGTTGTGCGGTTTTTGGACAGTATACGTGTACCTCTATCCTCTTTTGCGTTTGGCTCTCGCCATAACGCATAAGAAAAAACGACTTTACGCAACGACCAACGTACGGGGACACCACATTTGCTATGACATTTCTCTGACCCACATCCACAACGCACCGTACACCGACACAAGTGTGTCGTGTGAGGTCAGAGGTGTGTCGTGTGAGGCGAGGTTGTGTGATCAAGCTTCAAGGCGTTCAAGGCGAGGTCCGAGGTGTGCCGTTGCGGCGTGCGCGTGCTCTCTGCATCTTGCGCGCGGCTGTGCGCGGGTGCGGGTGCTGGGGGACACTCAGGGGACACTGCTCTGCTGTGGACTCAGGACTGTGGTGGTGGCGCCGCCCAGGCCCTTGGCCACGAGTCCAGGTGTGCTATATACCTTACCTACGCACAGTCACGGACGGGGACACGCACGCGCCCAACGCACACGCACGGCCCACGGCGGCGGCGGGCGGGGCGGGACCCCTCGCCGAGAGGGGGCGGGGCGCCCCGCGGCCGCGCAAGTCTCGCAATTCGGCTACCTCAGCCCGCGGCGGGTTGTTCTACGCCCGGCCCCGCGGCCTGGCGCGCGTGCGCCTCCCCGGTGCCCTGATCCGCCGGCTGGACCGCGCGGCTGGACTGCCTCTGCCTCGGCGCGGGCGGCGCGAGGCAGGCGCTTCCACGCGCGGCGAGCAGGTCGGCGAGCTCCGAGACGAGGCGCGCAAAGACGACGAGCCCGGCGAGGGAGAGGAGGAAGAACATGGCGAGCCCGCCGCCGCCGTCGCCGTACGAGACCGTGTAGTGGCCAAACCCGATGGTGCTGAACGTGACAAACGCATAGTAGAAGCCTACAGCCGTTGAGCCATACGCGGGCTACGATTCCAAAGAGTTCAGAGGAGTACGGCCCGAGTTCGTGTGCTCCGAGTGCGAGTCGGGGTACGCAGATCTGTATCCAGCTTCTAGGATCAGAAGCCGGTGAAGAAGTCCCAGCCCTGCGTCGCGGCAAAGATGCCTCCGCTGAGCAGCCAGTAGGCGAGCGCGAGGCCGACGTAGAGGAGGGCGCGCCGCCCAGGGCCGGGCTTGTCGACGCGAAGCAAGCGGACGAGCAGCGCGATGCTCGCCTGAGGGGCGAGGAGAGGTGAGTATGGCTTCTCCGCACGATTGCGTGTGGGGCTAGTGGGCCCGCCCCTCGCCTTGTCCAGCCCGTCTGCGAGCACCGTCAGGCAGGCTCCCGAGACGGCGAGGCCAACGAGGCCAAAAACCACCACGAGCACCTCTCCAGCCAGGGTGTACGGCACAAACGTCCCGTAGCCGATCGTCGTCATGATGGTCAGCACAAAGAAGAGCGAGCCACCAAACGACCAGTTCAGCGCGTCAGGGTTGGGCGCGGACTGCTTCGAGTTCGCGTACTCGTCCAGCTGCGAGACAAGCGCGTCGAGGGCGGCGCGGGCAGTCGTGTCGTTGACTAGCGCCGCCTCGACCAGCTCGCGTCGCTGCTGCAGCTGCTCCTGGAAGGCCACCGCCCTCGCCCGCTCCTCGCCGCCCTCGATGGCATAGAAGATTACGGCGCCGAGATGCGCTGTCGCAGTGTAGAGAAGGGCCGCGGCAACGCAGCGCCGCCAGGTGGGGCGCAGCAAGTGCCCTAGAGCGCGTCGCAGCTGCATCTACACCGGCACCGTGCTCAAAGTGAAGTTGAGCTTCGCGGCAAGGTGGTCCGTTCAGCCCTGCGGAGAACAAAGAATTTAGACAAAACAACTCTCTCTCACAGCAGACAGGCTCGACACAGGTGCGAACTGGCGCGTGCTAGTACTATCACCGGCACACCTACAACAAAGAATTTAAAGAAAGAAAACGCAAGCGCACTAGGAAGAACTCAGAGGAGAGGGGAGCCTCCTCCGGAGTGAGGATGAGGATCCCGCGCGAAGGGGCCCTGAGCGGTGACGGCGTGTGAGAGTGCGTGTCGTGTTCATGTCTGGTGTTCATTATAGCTCCGCCGAGACCCGAGTAGAGGGGGCGGTCTACTGCTAGGGCCTAGGGGAAACCCGGAGCGCGGAGCTAACCTTTGGAGACCCGTGTTTACTTTAAGGCCCTTTCCCTGCGAACGCGTACCCCCGGGGCTAGGGCTCTCTAGCGGCCGTAACCCCGCGACACCGATCATCCAGGTTGTGCTCACCCACGGCACCGGGCCGGTGCTTGCACTTTGAATGCCGTGGGGCTCCTGCCCGTGTCCGGGCGTGGAGATGCGAGGGTCGCCCCCCCTTGCCCCACCACTTTGTGTGTGTGGAGACGTTTACCTTACCTTACCTTACCTTACCGATCATCCGGCTCGCTGGGTGCGCTTCGGCTTTAGCTCCGCCCCGGCCCTGCATGTGAGGTTGATAACTGCACTCCAAGTGCTCCAAGAAGTGCTCCTCAAGTGTGGAGGTTGATGACCGCTCTCCAAGTGCGCAAGTCTCAGCATACGTAAGGCACGCACACGAACCGCTGCTCTATACCTCTAGCGAAGCGCGTCGGGTTGTGCTTGGGGGTGCCCTTTCTCTCTTCGCCTCTCTCTCTAGATTCCTCTTGGTCTTGAGGTCACGCGCCGAGTCCCACTATATACGCTCCGGCCACACCGCCCCCGCCCTCTCTCCCGCGCTGTG